AGTGGGTCTGCAGATGCAATTCTTGGTGTATTTGTGGGAGAGGGCAAGATGTGAGTCTCTATTCCGCTATCTTGGCATCTCCCTAGAAATTTTTTAAATCTATTTTTATATATGGTCACTAACATTTAGGGGTGATGATTTTAAAATACATCCAGAAGTATCAGAAGGAATCCATGGGACTTAATATACACACATAGCTAGATACAGAAATAAATACAGATGCTTTTGAATGTATGTGTGTGTGTGTGTGTGTGTGTACATGTGTCTATTCCCCACCTCTGTCCTGTGAGAGGACCTAGAAGCAATGTCACCTCGTAGCAATAACACCCCACCCCTTGGATCTTGATTTCTAAATACCATTTTCTAATAAAAAGGAACCAAAGTCCCCTGGAGAAATGGCTGCTTCCAGGGCTCAGGCAGGGAATATATAAGATGAGTCTGGAGTATCTTGTGCCAAAAACAGCAAACTGCTCAAAGAATAATATAGCGAAACCAAAGGACACCAGAGCCAACCTGACAAGGCTCCCAGCAGCCAGATCTGGGACAATTTAAACATCACAATAAATGGGGAGAATAAAGGATTATAATCTATTGCAAAAAAAAAAACTAGGAATCCTAGAGTCTACATCGGTATAAATAAATACATGAATTCCCTGGCTTACAATAAAAAGATGATGGAATTTTTAAAAACCCACTATTTGGCAATCACCATAATAACTGACTTGGGGAAGGACCATTATTAATAGATGCTAAAACCAATGGGTGCGAAGTTGAGGAACGATAGTATATTTTTAGAGTCTCACAGTCTTTCTCCCAAGGATACTTATGAGTTACACAGGGTGACATAGTAACTCCATAGTGGACACTGCCATCACCCTATCGTGGAAGCTCCCGTTGCTAGTGACAGGATGGATTGACAGCACGTGCCCCCGGACACGGTGCTCTGAGGGGAGCTCCACGCCGATCACTTCTGTGCCGTTTCTGCCCAAAGTGCATGTCAGAAGCTATTCCGGAGGAACCACCAGATAAACTCAGATTTAGGGACAGTCTACCAAGTGACTGGCTGGGGGTTTTTCACAAATGTCAGTGTCATGAAGGACAAAGAGGCAGGAAATGTTTTGGAGTAAAGAAAGGCAAAGAGAGATGCAGTGAATGGAACCCACGGTCTTGGCTGATTTTCTTGTTAAAAACATGATCATGGAATCTGAATGAGGTCTGTAGGTTAGATAAGAAAATTCCTTATTTTTAGGAAATATGTACTGAAATATTCAGGGGTAAATGGGCATCATGTCTTAAATGGTTCAGAAAAGAAAAAGAGAGAAGAGAGAGGAACACAGCAAGTAACATGGTGAACAGTTAATGCTGGGGGACCTGGATGGACAAAGAGTATTTAGGATTCTCTTGTAATAGTTTGCACCTTTTCTGTAAATCTGAAATGATGTTAGAATAATTTTTTTAATAAAACATAACATGTAAAACATCTCTTCTGCAAAACTGCTTGACATGTCCCATCAAGAGGTGAAGTCTAATTCCTGCCCCTTGAATAAGGTCTGATGTTGGGGACTTCTAATGAACAGAGCGTGGTTCTTGGAGGCCAAGTTACAAAAGGAGACTCAGTGTCCACCTGGCTCTCCCCTGCTTGGGGCACAGCTGTGAGCTCTGAGCCACCGGGTATGAATCCACCCCCCTCTGAAGCCACCAGGCTGGAGAGAGCACGTGGGAGACCCCCTAGAGGGGGCAATGCTGGAGGCGCCCCCGGGTGGCCCCTGGGTGGCCATGTCCTGTCTCACCAAACAGGCCATGGAACTCCCCCAAAGTAGGGGCAGGCGGTTCCTGTCATCACACAGAGACGGGAATAGGATGAGGAGAGTGAGATGCAGAGCTCAAGGACGTGCTCACCGCTCACCTGGGATCACCTGTTCTTTCTGCAAAGAGTAATGGAGAAGGTGCAAGAATTAAGGCCACCTTCAAATTCAGCCTGGGTCGCTCTGGGTGGGTGACTGTGGATGAGTCTCTGGACCACTCCCTGGGTCAATTGCCTCCTCTCTTTAAAGGGCAGGCTGGAGGGACCTCACCAGGTGATTGTGGCGCTCTGGATAGCACTGTGGAGACACTTTGCTAGTTATAAAGAACATTCAGCTGTGTTGTATGATAACACTTCTCGTGGCACTTTCAGCCCTGCAGGGCTTTGCTCAGCCCAAAATGTGAGGACCACCACCCCTGACAGGCAATGCCGCCCTGGGACTTGCTGTATAACCTCCATGTTACACATACTCTTAATCCTCACCCAGACCTGTTGAGGTTAATGTACCCATTTCTCAGATAAACAAACTGAAGCCAGGAGAGGTGCCTAAATTCAGACAATTAATAAATGGGGGAGGTAAAATTTGAACTCGGGGCTTTGGCACTTCAAAGCCTGCGTGGTGTGGCTTTGGGACAATCAGCTGGGACCCGGGTCAGGGCCTCTGTTGTCGGGGGAGGGGGGGCGTCCTGTGCACTGTAGGAGGTTTAGCAGCATCCCTGTCCTCTACCCTCTAGATGGTAGGGGTACCTCAACTCGGTTGTGACAACCCAAAAATGTCCCAAGACATGGCCAAATGTCCTTTGGGGGATAAAATTACCCCAGTTGAGAACCACAGGCCTATGTAAAAACCCTGGTTTCAAAACTTACTAGTCATATGACCTTGGACAAGCATCTTGACCTCTATGTGTCTCAGTGTTCTCATCTGTAAAATGGGAATTAATAGTACGTGAGGTTAATGTGAAGAACACAAAGGAATGAGGAGGGGGCATCTGGCCAAAATATGGGGTCCTTTTCCTACTGCTGCCTCCCCTCCAAACACAAAGGAACGCCCAGGGCAGGTGACAATGAAAGTCAGCTTACACGTGGATACAGGAATGCATCAGTTAACCCAGTAATTACCAAATGAGCGAGGACTGTTCTGAGCCAGGCACCAGTGCATTTGCTGATGGGGGGGCCTCGGCAGCCCCTCTCACCCCTGCAGGGGGTCAAGGAAGACTGTGCGGCCAGGCTCTCCAGTTCAAGTCCATGTCGGCCACTTACTAACCATGTGACCCAGGGCTAGTTATTTAGCTTTCTGATGCCTTCATTTCCCCTTCAGTAAAATGTTTGTAACAATGGTGCCTGCCTCGCAGGGTTGCGAGCATCGGAGGAATCCACGCACCTGCAGCCCGGGCACAGGATGAGTCTCTAGAATGCCTGCCGTTGCTGTTGGCATTGACCCTCCACAGTTCTGCAGCCACACTAGCCACCCCTCTCTTCCCCAGCGTGCCCCGCCTAGTCCCCGTTCAGGTCTTCCCCTGGACGTGGGTGTCACCCCTTTTCCATCTGCATCTCTCTTCATGTCTCTCGCTTGAACACCCTAAATCAAACAGCAGCCTCATCACTCCACCCTGGTTTACTTGGCACCCCACCAGTTACCACTGCCTGACGTGGCATCTCACAGTCTGGGGAGCATGGACACTCCCATGCAGCACAGTATCGTGTGCTCATCTGCTGTCTCTCTGCTACTGAAATACAAGTTCCCAGACATCAGCATATTTAATTGGTGACAATATTCCCAGAAGAGTGCCTAGCATACAGTAGGTATAAATAATTATATTGAATGATGAATGATAGTTTGCAGAAGGGATCCCCAACGTTCTCACATAAGCCTTTTCCCTAACACAAATTATTTGAACTAGAGTCTAGAGCAATGTTTGCCACCAAAAAAATTTGGCTTATTACAACAACCTGTCCTTTAGAATAGAAGAGCTACATTTTAGAGATTTTTGGATCAGAGTTTCTCCGACTGTGCTCCCTACAAACTGTGATCTCCAGAGAAATAAAGCAATAAGGAATTGCACCAAACAAGGATTCACAAGGTCAAAGGCATTGGAAAACAAGGCAGAATTCTCTCCTGCTGGGGGATTCACAGTGCACAGGAAAAGCTATAAGAAACCCTGTAGAAGACAGATACTGTACCTGGTTTGCAGAACTTCTTTCATGCTAGACCCTATCCATTAACATCTGCATCATCTAATACAATTTGGAAAACAGTGCTCGGGGTAAGTCCTTCAATTTACAGATGCAGAGAGAAAGTGAAGCCCAGAGAGGTTAATTGACCCTTCGAGGTCACACAGCCATCTCCTGACTCCTAGAACAGGGTACTTTTCACTGTCCCTGATGTCTCCCTAATTGTCCACTGAGCAATCAGCCCACAAGAGGTCAAAAACTGAACGCTAGACCTCAGATTCCAATATCAATTTGACCAAATCATAGATGAAATCTAATGCACAAAGTAGGATTTGCTTTCAATCTCACTGCTTCAGAAATAGTCAGTTATTCATTCAACAACTATTTATGTCGCATGACATGCCAGGCACTGCACATTTTGCAGTGAGCAAGACCTGCCAGTTCAGTAGACTGACAATAAAATTATCCCTAAAGAGACCAAAATTGATTGAACTGTCCTTGATAAGCCTGCTTCAAAGGAGAGACTCGCAAGAAATTACACATTTACATTTCATTTGCTTCCATTAACAATGCTCGAGTTTGGATCTAATGGTAATAATATGCTCTCGACTGGAATGGCTGTGGAACTAAGCACTCCCTTTCCCTGTGCAGACTGCAGAGCAGAAAAACAAAAAGATTGGAATTCATTGGGCTTTTTCGTTGAGTCCCTCAACCAACAGATTTTCCAATTTCAAGTCCATTCAGAGATCACCTCTGGCTCCTACGTTTTAGTTTAAATGTATTTCTCACTTCCTATTGTCTACAAATGCCTATTTTAAAAAAAGAAATTTGTTTTTTAAAGCACATCAACTCACACAATTCAAAGCCCTTCAGAAAACACGGTAGATCAAAAACCACATAACTCTAAAAACACCATAGATTTGAGGTTGAGAAAGATCGAGCCATTATTCTTTACGATCTTTTCAATGAACTGATAGCATCTGTCTAGAAATCAAGAGAATTGTTTTATGTCATGTAATTTTAAAAAGAAGATTCTCAATGAGAAAATAAATATTGGAATTCCTGGCTTAAGAAGACCATATTTGATGATGCAGCATTGAAGCCATATTTCTGCACAGACTTGAGATGTGTGCACCTGATTTAAAAAAAAAAAACTGAGTTATCGGAAGCCCTTCAAGTTCTCTTGCCCCTGTGTGTGCCTTTAAGGCCAAACTGTCTGTAAAGAAAATAAGCGTGTGCTTCCAGACCTAGCCAAGATCTTCCCTGCTTTTAAAGATGCTCTCATGGCTTCTCCAGGAGCTGTCCTGAGAACCAATCTGGCAAAGCAAAGATAATCACCCTGTAACACACATAACTCATGTTTATTAGACACCAGAACAAATCAGGAAGAATTCCTCAGCTGTAGTAAAGACATACAGAGAGCAGAAACTGCATAAACACAGGCCACAGGAAGCAAGATTCCGGAAAGCCACACACACTCCCATCAGCACTACACACATACTAAGCCTACTGTTTAAAAATCAGCCCAAACACAAATAAGTCACTGAACGGTCCTTTTGTTTAAAAAGGAAGGGGAGAGTATATTTTTCAAAGACTAAGTACCACTTTTTTCTCCCCCGCCTTATCTTCTCTAACAGAACAACTGGTCCATCTCTGCTAGGCTAAGGTATATTTGACTGAGTTTACTCCAACTGCTTCTGCCAGATCTTTCAACAACAAATCGGTCTGGTGAGGTTTCTAAGCACGTGGCGACCACACCAACACAGAAAACGTGATAGACTGAGCAGCACTCGAAACGTGTCAGTGTGTGCCCGTGTGTGGGTTCCGCATGCTTGCTAGTGTCTGCGCGGTTATATAGATCCACGAGGCGGGTTTCTTATGCAGGTTAATGGAATCCATTTGGGGGGAAAGGCGTTATCTTGTCTAGTGAAGTCTCCCCCTCGCAGTCCAGCTCCCAGACAGACTGGGCAGCAGGGTCGCCACCTGGGGACTTCGGAGAGATATGGGATATACGATCGAAAGGGCTCTCCTCCTCCGCCTGCTTGTCCACATCCGCGTCGCCCGGGGTCACGACGTTGGGGATCATATGGATGTAGGCGGCTGCGATCTCCTTGTGGAACACGGTGTCCTGGTTGTAAGAGATGAGCTCATTGCTGATGTTCACCGTCTCCACCTGGGTGCGAGAGCAGAGGTGGCTGCACCCCAGCAGCTGGGCAAACACCTGTCGGAAGTCAGTGTTGAAGGCATAGATGATGGGGTTGAGCGAGGAGTTGGCCCAGCCGAACCAGACGAAGACGTCGAAGGTGGTCTCGCTGACACAGGGGAAGCCCGCCTCGGGGCCCTCGGGGTGTCCGCTGCAGAAGGGGACCATGCAGTTAAGGATGAAGAAGGGCAGCCAGCAGCATACGAAGACCCCCATGATCACCGACAGGGTCTTGAGGACCTTGGTCTCCTTCTTGATGGATGCCCTCAGGCCGGCGTCGGGCGCACAGGCCTCACGGCTCCGGCAGCTCTGCGCGTGCTCCGCGGCCCTCTCCAGGGAGGAAATCCTGCGAATTTGTACCTGGGCGATGCGGTAGATGCGCGTATAGGTCACAATCATGATAGCCACCGGGATGTAGAAGCTGATGAGCGAGGAGGAGATCGCATAAGTTCGGTTCAGGCTGGAGTCACAGTTTTCCGCGCTCACTTCTGGCTCTCCGGCTTCCTCCCAGGGTGTCCCGTTGGCGGAGTTAGATGGCGGGTCCACCCCACCCCAGGAGCCCATCTTGTCCCTGTGCCAGTGGAGCTGAACTGGGATGAAGGAGATGAGGATGGACAAGGTCCACACCAGGCCGACCATGACCAAGGCCACAAGCTGGGTCATCTTGCGCTCGTAGCAGAAGGGCCTGGAGATGGCCCAGTAGCGGTCCACGCTGATGATGCACAGGTTCAGGATGGAGGCGGTGGAGCACATGATGTCGAAGGCCACCCAGACGTCGCAGAAGGCCCCAAAGGGCCAGTAACCGGCCACTTCGGCGACCGCCTTCCAGGGCATGACCAGCAGCGCCACGAAGAGGTCGGACACAGCCAGAGACACGATGAAGACGTTGGTCATCTTGGCGCGCAGGTGGCGGCTGCGCACGATGGCCGCGCACACCAGAACATTGCCCAGCAGA